TTGTTCTTATTTTGACGTTGTTCGTTTTCAGTTATTTAACAAATTTTCTTCTGCCGTTGACTGAGTTTTTGAAATGGATTTTCCCTATATCAAACAGCTTTGCGAGCTCTCAAAAAAAGGAGACTTGGAAAGCATCCGGCGTTTGTTGGACAAGCACAGAAAGGACTTTGATGAGGGTCAGATCAAGGAAGCAATGGTAAGTATCTATAAAAATTAATTATATCTGCTCAGGGTTTCTTTATTTATTTTGATGGCGATCTGCCCTCTTCGCTTGTGAAGAGGTTGTCTGAAAAAATTAAGCATTTTGGTGAGCGGAGTGAACTGAAGCAGTACTTGCAAGGTGCGGTGAATTATCCGATAAACAGCGAGTCAGAGTCGGAATAAACCGTTGCCACAGAAGCAGTTTTACTTATGTAATCAGTGCTTTCGTATAATAAAAATAACTTTTTTATTTGACTTCAATCAGCGCTGATAAGGTTTCGGTGCTTAAAGAAGGGCAATTAAAATGAATGCTAAAGAGGAAAATGCACAACTATACATTCGTTTGGTTTAAAATCAATTTTGATTTGACGCATTGAAATTCTTTTTGCTTCAGGAAAGGGCATTATTTGTAGCTTCTGAATTCGGACATCTGGAGATCGTTCAATTTTTTGTGAACTATGGAGTCAATGTCACTATCAGAGATGGGGATGGGGTAAATAATTAAAGGTTAAACTCAAAATTACTTGCTGCTTTTAAAAAGAATATAAGTATAAGCAGAAAAGAAAAAAAATCACATGATAAAAAACCACAAAGAGATTCAACAACCCACAACGCTTTTAACGGGGAGATAGAGATAATCATAAAGACAAAAGTCTCCAAATTAAATTTATAAAAAAGAGTATTTAGATGGAAATTGAGTAGATAGAAATTTAAAAGACGGAGAAGAAGCAAAGTTTATTTGAAATGATCAGAACTTAGCGTCAAATGCTTAGCGTCTGCTGAAAGAATATGTGAAAAAAGCAAAAAAAACAAAAACTTATAATTAAAAAAACTATTTAGTAAGAAAAAACAAAATTAACACATGTATGGTTTTAGTTTTCCGTCTGTCATAAAATACGCTGTAAAAAAGCGCTTAAAAGTTTGAAGTGACTGATAAAAATATAAAAAAAAAAAAAAA